AAACGCACCGGATTTAATGCGATTCACGATAGTTTCTTCGGATTATCACGTGTGATGATCGCGAGAAGAAAGGAACTGAAACGAAAAAAAGGAAGAAATAGAGAGAAAGAAAGTACCGAAAGGATGAAAAGAAAAGGAGAAAAGAAGAAAATAATACGAGTTATGGCGGTTCGTTTGGTTTATCACGAGTGATGATTACAATAAAATGGAGAAAGAAATAGCATGAGGTGATGGTAGGACGTGTAGGGTGCCAAAGAAATATTCCGCAGATTAATTTTAACAACGAGTTTATTAATATCAGGAAAATGACAGCCTTATCAGTGCGCGTTACCTGGGCTTCTGTACTTGTACTGTTCTTCGTGTGCTCAACGTCCACTCCACTTCACTCGGCACTCGCGACGTGTCACTCCGGGTGCCACTGTCTCTAACTGTGTGTCCAGCTTTTCCTCGTTTCCTTTTATATAGAGTGCCGAGGTGGCCGAAAAAGAAAGTCTTCTTCCGGGGTAGGTAAACGGTCTTTTTCTTGCCGAAGACTCTTGCAGATTTTTGTAAGTCCCGGGGTTTATTCTTTTACGACGTCCTGGCCAGGGTCTTTTTTCTTCTACGACGCCCTGGCCTCGGACGTCGTTTCGCAGGCCATGTGGCCAACACATGCGCTTAAATCCTGGAACTTTCTTTACGGCCATAGGCCGCTACAAGCAAAAAAGAAAGAAACGGAGAGATGAAGAGAAACAGAGACAACGAAAGGAGAAGAAAGAGGGGAAGAAAAGGAAGAAGAAACGAAGGGGCGAATGAGGAGAAGAGTGCGAGGACGTAGAGGAAAAGAAGGGAATGGAAAAAAGAAGAGAGGAAAGGAAAGTAACGGAAGGGGAGGAGTAATACCTAGTTTCTTCCACGTTCATTTCAAGGTTCGAGCAGGGATGACCTAATGCTCGCTTAACGAAGGACTTTTATATTCTACCTCGTCACTATCCAACTTTAACTCTATTTTATCATAACTCCATTAAGACTTTTAATCGCGAACGGCCTACGCCTCACTCTGAAGTTTTTCCAATCTTCTAACTACTAAATTTACACTCTAAATTTTAACTAATTGGATACATTACATTTATTAACCACTGTAAATATCGTACTGATGAATCCTGCGAAGATTGCAGTTGATCTATGAAATGTATGCGAAATCTTCTTACAAATGTTAGCACGTCCGAAAAGTTTCTTTCGTTTTATAAGGAAATAATGGACGCACAACATTTCTCGTTTTATATTATTTTATCGAATTACGAATCATCCATTTTGTTCTATCAAAATAAAGATCACAACGTTCGACAGATTAGGTTTCGTGTTTGTACAAAAATGCGTCGTTGTAAAAGACGTGTCTGTAAGAGAAAGACACTTTCCGGACAACCTAATACTTATTGGTATATACCCGTTTATGTAAAAATTGTGAATGTATAAGTAATTACATCGATATATTGAAGTTATTGTTAAAAAATATGCGAAATATCGATGTATTGATTGATCAGCTAGTATAATATTTATTGTTTCGAACAACAATCGCTTATTTTCAACAATACAGAGTGGTTGGTAACTGGTGGTACAAGCGGAAAGGGGGTGATTCTACGCGAAAAAAGAAGTCGAAAATATATAATAACAATATTTCGTTTGAGGCTTTGTTTTCGAGAAAATCGACTTTGAATTTTCGCTGGGAATTTTCACGCGTGCGGTACGTTATAGCGCATCTCACTGTAGATCCTTGTCTCGATGGAAGAATTAAAAACAAAAATTAAAAAAAGAAATTTTTATTCTATATTTTCTATGTTTTCTATTTTATATTATTCCATCGAGACAACGATCTACAGTGAGATCCGTTATAAGACGCGATAAAGTGCGCGCGTACCGAACGAAAATTCAAAGTCGATTTTCTCGAAAACAAAGCCTCGAACGAAAAATTGTTATTCTATATTTTCGACTTCTTTTTTCGCCTAGAATCACCCCCTTTCCGCTTGTACCACCAGTTACCAACCACCCTGTATAATCGCATTTCGTAAATTATTAGACAAATATAAATCACGATGATTGAGAAAATAGGATGGATATTTCTCATAAATTCGCTCGTTTTATCGCATTCTCCTGGCTTTTTTTTATTTTTACTGGATAAAATCGTTATTCCTTCTCGTGCGTTCGATTCATCGACCAAACGACGACCAAGACTTCTGCGGCTGCTCCTCGATAAATAGAAAGAATCGTTACGCACGTTTTATCTCTTTGTTTCAGTGATTTAAACTGACCTCTCGAGTAACCAGCGTCCGTTCTCCGCCGTTATTTATGTGCTAATACCAATGTCAAAAGTATAAAAAATATTTGCAAGCGCAAAGAATAGCACGGCGAACGTCGGATGTGAACTGTGTTTCTTTAAAACGTGCTAGAAGAACTTCATAAAAATTTCAGACGAAGAAAAATGTAAAAAAACAAAGGGAAGGAATTAAGGAAAGAAAAGTAAATCTCGTAACAGGCTAAAATATAAAACTTCCGTAAACAGTAGTTTTTCACCTGGCACACAAGTATCCTTAATTTTTAATCGCGCGCTCTTTCCTCTTCGTAATAAAAGAAAACCAACCCTTTGTCTATACGTTGTAACAGGTCTGCCAATGCTATTTCCTCTGCTCTTCTCGCATTTAGGTAAATAAGGATGCACCGGAGTGAAGATTCGTTGCGCGATTCCTCCACTGTTTCCATTATACGTAGAAACGCGATATCTGTGAAACTGAAGAAGCCGCTTGCTGTTCGCCGCTGAACCATTCGAATCGCTGGAACCGTCGCGATTGCCTTTTTATTTCGCGCGAAGGGGACTTCATTGCTAATTTTAAAGTGGATCCACCGAGGGAAAAAGACGATTGCATTTTCCTTCTCCGTCGTTCCCTCGATTCCATCACGGAACGTGGCTTCATTTTAATCGTAACACGCGTGATTACTTACGAAAAAATCAGCTTTCACACTCTTTGAGTCGCAACGAGAGGCACAAAGTGGCGGAACATGAGACACGCGTGTATTTAATTTATTATAAGACGATTATTTCTGCGAAGAAAAAAATACCTTTTCCGCTCTTGACCCTTACCCCGATCTTCTTCCGCCCTATTTCCCTCTCCCTCTTCCACCGATTAACCGCTATTTTGCCTCGGCCAGGTCTCTTTATATAACTATCGATTTATTTAAGCGCGCATTACATCCCCTTCCCCTTTTAGCAAAATTTTGCCTCGTCAACGAAACGCGCATTCCACTCCGCCCCAGAGACCAGGCTTGTTACCGCGAACGACAAGAAAATTTCATTCGAACAATACCGTCGTGCTACTGTTGCCTAAATATATTCTCGTTCAATGTTCCCGCTTCGACGATTTTCCGTGTCCGGAAACTTGTGTCTATATAACAGAAAGCGGAGACCAAGTATCGTCAAACTGTCATGCATAAAACATTAACATTAACGAAAACAATTTGTGAATGCGACCTATGGAGAATTCCTCGACCCACGTTCTCGTTTTATCCAACGAAGACTAAAAGAAAAAAAGAACTCGAAACATCGAATGTTCTAAGAATTTCTTAACTTTCTATTCGCATTAAAAATGCATTTGATTCTGGCGTGTGTGTGTGTGTGTGTGTAGATTATATGGGAATATTAACGAGAACAATTTCTAATGTGATTTATAGCGAATTTCTGAATCTACGCTCAATTTCTTGAGGAATAAAAGAGGAGAAAAGGGCACAAAAGATAAAATGTTCGCGATATTAAGTGATCCGAGGATTAAGGTAATCCTCTTCGAGGAATTTCTTGGTATTTTATTAACATCAAAAATCACTTTCGTCGTGTACAGATTATTTATTGCTATAAATAATTTATTATTAAATGCCTATCAAATGGTAGTAATAAACTATAGATAATAGTAGTAATAGGTAATAAACAAAAGTAATTCGCGACACAATTTATAGAAAATTTCGAGATCTACTTGTTTCGTGAAAGAATAAAATTTAAAGAATCGAAATATGAAGTAGTTTGAGAATTTCGATAGCTTTGGGAATTCCGTAGAAAAACAGTTTCACGAAACGTAGAGACAAAGATAAACAGGGGGAGATCAAGATGAATGGTAAAAAAAGGGCTTTGTGTTCTATATCAGACTACGATATTTCCGACGAGAATGGATTTCTTCTGAAAGTCTGGACAGACGCATCGCAACCGTCGTACATCATCTAAAATTACGATCATAGCATAGTATCCGGTGATGCAATCGCGATTTTTCCATTGTATCGTGTTGTTGACGGTGACAAGAAGCACAGTCCACAGTGAAATTAATCGACGGAGGATATTAGCGAGCAAAGTATCTAATGCATAATGATTTAGTGGCAAAAAGAAGATTTCTCATTCTCGGTGATAACAAATTCATCCATGATTTAACGTTATTGCTGGTTTACTATTGGGTCGTCCGAAAAGTTCCTTTCCTTTTATAAGGAAATAATGGGCGCACAACATTTTTCGTTTTATATTATTTTATCGAATTACGTATGTTTCATTTTGTTTTATCAAGATAAAAATCACAACGTTTGACAGATTAGACTTCGTGTTTGCATAAAGATGCATCGTTGTAAAAGACGCGCGTGTAAAAGAAAGACACTTTTCCGACAAAAAGTTGAGTACATATTTTGGAAAAGACGAAGGCAAAAGAATTGCTGCTTCAGAGTTCCAATGACTGTGAGTGATTAAACAGAAGATACGATAAAGTTGGATATAAAATCGGAGATGACTGGTTCTTTCATTAAATGATACCTATAGCGCGAATTTTTATGCATTTGTGAGAATTTGTAAAATATGAAAATGCACATAATACGTAAAGATTATAAAATATGCAAGATATAGTACTAGTTATAATATTTAATACACAAAACGAATATTTCCATGAATACCTACAATTTAACGATGTTTAAACGCTAAAGAATGCTTGTACGTCAAAGAAATTCGAAATCGAGGGTATATGAAAAAATGGATTATACAAGAGAAAAATAATCATTTTCAAATACGCTAAAATGCATCGTTACAAACCTATAGAAAATCTGTCGAGAAACTGACAAATTATTCGCTTTGATCGCTTTGGTAATTCCACGCTTTACAAATCCTATTACATCATCCGTTAAAAGGGATCAGATATTACGCAATAAAATTTCAAAAGCCAAAATCAAAGTCGACTCTTATTTTAATTAAAATTCCAATCAATGAGAAGCAGATTACGTTTCTCTACCCTGGATGTATCAAGTGTGGTGGCACGCAAAAATCCGATACCGTCTCATAGGTTCGGGCCAATTAACCCAAGAAGATCCGGTCCGAATGTAAGTAACGGAGCTCTTGGACGACTTTCGGATTAACCATCTTCCACGACGGCAGATTATTAAAGCAACAAACTGCTCCTATACTTACGTTCCCTCGCGTTAGCTTGGTCTTCGCGGTTTCGTCCATTGGCGCGGGAGATGTCGAAGGACGCATGGAGGTGGAGGAATAGACAAGGTTGAAACGAAAGGTAGAAAAAGCTGGTGTTGGTGGATCGCAAGGGTGCGGTTGCCTAGCTACTACGTGACGTCATCTGTGACGCAGTCGAACAAGAGGAAACATCCGCATCGGAGTGACAAGGATGTGCGATAGGGAGCGAGGTCACTGCGTCATCATCCACGGGGATCCACTGAGAAGGTGGATTGACCAGATTAAACGTATCTTTTCTTCGAGTTCGCACCGAGACCTTTTCTACTCACGGGGCTAATTTCATCTAGCTGGAAAGAGCTGACAGAAATGTAAAACACATCGAGCAGAAAATATGCCGCTTCCGGTATGCGCGTAGATTATTTCCGCTACCGGATACTAGCGTTTGGTATAGCATTTTGGCCTATTGGTATAGCACGCGTAAACGTCTGATCGTAGTAGCGTGGAACGACCTACGGCTTGACACGAGAAACGTTGAAGGGATTTGATGTTCTGCCATTATTTGATTCTCGCCTATTGCGTAAAATTGATGTTTCTATTAACTACAATAAGTGTTTCAATACATTAGAAGAGAATTAATTCAAGAATACTATTGCAAACGAATATCTAGGGCAGTAACTTCTAAAAGAACTACACTATATTATTATCTAGAACTATACTACTACTAGAACTATAGAACTAGTATTATAGTATACTCTACTATAGAACTATAAGAACTATACTATACTATATTATTATCAAGTTTCAGTACACCTCTTTAACTGCGATTAATCAAATGAAATATATTTAGAAACACGATGAATTATTCGTAGTTTTCTTATTAAGAAAATCGACGTTGAAGTAGCAAGTATATGAAAGGAAAAGGAGAATTTCATACCCAGAAAGGTATAACAAAGATATAACAAACGTATACCTAATATGTCATAAAACCTGATACCCGACACATAAGAATATCATAAAAAAAAACTGAAAACAACAATGATTAATGTCGAGCGAACAAAAGAATAAAGTAGTATTGGATGAACACTGACGTCTGACCACAGACTGGCAAATACTACTGATGCTCGGAAGAAAAGACGCAGGTACGAGCATCTTGCTACGACTTTTCGTGCTAATATAAATTGTGTTGTCGTAAAGATGGAATTCTTGGCGACCTCGAAATCATACATCACGTTCGGACATGCAAAGGATATATCTCCCGTAAGGGAAACTTCTGGCCGATACGAGGCGTACGAGCCGACGGATATTACATTTTCTCCGGGTCGTCTGATCTCGCCTTGCAACGATTATGGCCACTGATGTCAACTTATTCATGCTCGATGAAGCATATCGCGGATGCCTCGTGTTGCTTCTGAAAACGACCATCAAAAAGACAGGATATTTAAGTTAGACGCCTGTCACTTATTTCTTTAGGATTCATCGTCTGTTAGCTCGTATCAATATGCATTCGGCAATCATTTATTAATGTCGAATATTCGATAAGTTTTCTATCCATCCATGTATCATTGAGTATGTAAAAGAAGCATGAAGCGATATTCTTATTAAGTCAGCCAGGAAATGCAATTTTGTATTTATTATATTTATAATTAAAATTAGATATAAGCTTAGATATAATGAAGCAATAGAAATATTGTGACTTTTATATTTGTAATGTAGGAACTGTACTTGGAATCGTGTAACATTTCCGAAATCTCGATTTGTTAACCATTACAGCATTATTGAACTATGAAAATGGTTTGTCTAATTCAATTAATATTTATATTGCTAATAGCAAACAACATAAATAATGTAAACTCTATAATAATATTAATATTCGTATCGGTCTTTAAAGAAAATTCCATCGAAATTAAAATTGAAGATAAATCGCTTTCATAACTTTAACTATACAACGATGAAAATTCATTAAAATAATAATATATATTGTTTATTATATTTATTATTGATTATAATGTAGGAGAAAGATTGTAAAAACGTATGCTATCAGAGACGTGTAATAAGAAAGTGATAGCAATCTTAGGAATGTTCATTATTTCATACTGCCACTTTAATACTATGCAATTCTTAAACACTTTGACTGCCATGCCGAAACCACACGTTTCGCTCAGGACGCCACAGTGTTTTAACACAGTGCACCGTTAGATGCAAAATTTGTTTTCATTTTTTTTTATTGATGTTCTAATAAAAATGTTTCACTGTTCAATGGGGCACTTTTTATTTCAAAGCATCTTCTATTTATCGGTAAAATTCAAAATACCCTAACTGTCAATTTTCATTCAATTTTTTTAATTGTAAGAAGTTCAAGCGCTCCGGTCACCAATGACCAACGTGGCAGTCAAAGTGTTTTAAACGAATTTGAAAATATATAATTACTACGAATAGAATTACTTGAATCGCAATTCAAGGCAATCAAAGAATTCGGTCGATTCGAGTTTTTTCACGAACCGGAAGATTTTTGTTATTGTTTGTCCCGCGAGTAACTGCGGGATCGAACATTACGATGATTGAAAAATTGAAATGGCCTCATCCGATCGTGAAGAACATGCTTTATGTGATTTATTTTCATCTATACCAAGTGCACATGTGGATCGTATATATGTACATGTTTCACTACGTGGATTTCGCAATAGTTGGATAAAACGAACGATCCATTGCACGGAGAAGTTGTTCGAGCAACGTTCGATGATTTCATCGATATCGATTAATAATGTAGAAATGTAGTATTCGCAAATATGTATAACGTTTGTTAATCGTTCTACACGATTTCATGCTCTAACAGATTTGATATTATCAGCGTCTCCGAAATAACGCATCCGATTCGTGTTTTTCGAGTCGTAGAATAATTATTTTCTCAACTAGAACTTGTAGCTTGTTCAAAGCATAGGGATCGAAGCAATTTCCACATAATTCAATAAATTTTTCCAACAGTTTTATCATCCTAGATTTATACAGTTAAAGAGTTAGGATCAAAGATTGCTAAGAATCGGACCAAAACGGTGACCATCTATCGTCTAGATTGTACGGATGTGCCACATTTATGTTTAAAGTGTTTTAACACAATGCACCGTTACATGCAAATTTGTTCTCATTTTTTTTTCTTGATGTTCTAATAAAAATGTTTCACTGTTCAATGGGGCACCTTTATTTCAAAGTATCTTCTATTTATCTGTTAAATTCAAAATACCCTGTCAATTTTCATTCAATTTTTGTAATTGTAAGAAGTTCAAGCGCCCCGGTCACCAATGACCAACGTGCCAGTCAAAGTGTTAACCTTCTCACGGAACATTTTATATTCCTCAATATCGAAATTGACTTTTCAAATGGTTCAAATATTTTCCGGAAATAACCAATCCAAAATATAGGAAATCGATATGAAGTGAACGTAGAAAGATCTTTCCTATGTCATACGTAGCTACCCCTCGAAAATAATTGTCCATAATCATCAGACCCTTGAAAAACCTCTTGAAGAACGTCTGGAGAAATCTGGTCGCACTGAACATTTTTTTTTTAATTATTATCTAATTTGTACTTTACAATTTGCCCAGCTTGGGGTTGCCCAGACGTTTGGTAAATTTTTCTAGCTTAAAAGCAGCGCTTGCTATGACAGGAAAACCGATGCATTGCTTCCGCGCTTTGCTTTGCGCTATTTTTTATTAAAGCTCGGCATTTCATCGGTGTGAAAGATTGGACGACTAAGCAATGGATTGGAAACAACGAACGAAATGAAAATGGAAATAATAATACATAATTGAAAGACGTAAAATAGGACGAGAGCAGTTTCTTGCGACAGTCTGATATCGATCCTGTACTTCATTTCATCGCGTTACTTTCTCGCCAATACTCTAATTGTGAAGAAGCGATAAACAACGTCGAAAAAAAAGAGATGCGAATCCGAAGAGGGAAAGTTATTGGACGAGAAAATTCGCAGCGATTTCATAGCAAAATGGTCGTTTCAACGTGGCCGAAAATACTGGACGCTGAAAGATTCGTCGGAATAGTTAACGGGAACGATAAAAAGTCGAACGAGACGCGACAACTACGAGAAGATCAGCGTCGATCGCTTGCTGTTATGGTTCCTTTGCGAATATAAAATACGAAAATAACGCGACGAAGTGCTTGGTTGCGTGTTACGTACGAAGTTATAAAACACGTGCAGCAGCGTATAATTCACGGTGACATGGAGCTCGTCGATGAATTTACTATCCCAGGGGAATCGAATAGGAAAAAATATAGACGAGCAATCGTGCAGAAATCTGCATATCGACAATAACGACTGTGTAACAATCGGAATTTCACAAGCGAAAGAATTGCGTGATGTAATTGTGAAAGAAACTCGATGATCACGAATTACTCTGAAGCTCTGAGTTTTATCTGCGACGTAACACAGATGCAAACTTGTTCGGCGTGGAAAACCCCGGAAGAATGGGAATATCATGAAAGGGCGTATGAAAGAAGACATAAAGAAAATGTCAAGCCGAAATCACGATGCATTACACTGGACGGTGCACGTAAATCTTTCTTCTCTTTGTAGTAAGCCACCTAATAAGAGGAAGAAGAAACGGAAGTAAAAATAAAAGAGAGAGTTTTCGAAGAATCTTCGCATAGGAAAATTGACTATGTAATTTCAGGGCGCACCGACAACACGGCTCTTTTCTTCTGTTTTTATCTTCGCCTCGCCCTTTTCTTCCAGCAGACCGTTTATCTTGCTTGCTGGTTGTTTGCGTACATCCGTTCCAACGGAGTTTCAGCAATCGCTGGGAAATATTTACCAAGACCCTAGCTAGCCAGAGGCACGCTTTTCAAGGCGAGCCAGAAGGAATAAGCGGGGGCGTGAAATTAAAGCGACGCGACGCGTCGGGAGGCGGCCGACTAATCCAACGCCACCTAATCACTTTTCTTTATTGCGTTCTCAAAGCAACCGTCACTTCCAACCAACCTCGATTGTCCATAACAATCGAAGACGCCTAAGAGATATCGGGATATTTATCTTCCGCTTTGTCACGTTCCAAGGGTTCACTTTTTAAAGATGAAGACCACGAGGCAAAGACGTAATAAGCCACACCTTTGGTTTTTTATACGAACATTACATGGAAAAACACGATAAGTACGTTCTCGTTCATTGTTTTGTTTTAATTTTACTGTGCGCTTTTATCAACAAAATTATACTTATCATATTTTTCTCCTGTAATCTCCAAAAATGTTGCATATTATTTTTTATTGTTTTAGTCGAACATAACGACGCTATGATAACGTTTGATTTCTTTTTCTTTTTTTTTTTTTTATTAGTTTTTAAAATTGCGAATGTCAGTTGAAGAGTATCGAAGTTTGAAAATTCTAACGAATCGATTGGATTCTGCCGCGAGTATTGTCCTTGATATTACGGCTGCCTTTTCCAAGTATCCCGGGATTACTAGAAACAACAAAAACCCTTTTTCGCGAGGGACAGGCCGCTTTTCAAGATATCGAGCAACGAGCAAACAAGTAAAAAGGAGGAAAAACAAGTGGAAAGCTACTTATTGTACGGAAAAGTAGGTCGATCATGCAGATCGTCACTTTTTTTACAAAAGAAA